TTTTTTTTTTTTTTTTTTTTTTTGTCTGCCAACAAATAAAAAGGAACTCGATACACAAATGTTCCTCTTTGTTCTTTACTGGTGGGGTCTTTCTTCAGTGTTTGAGGACATCTACTCATGCAGACTACAGGGGCTATATTAAACAGTTAATCACATTAAGCTATAGTGACATCTGAAAAATTAAAGGAAGAAGGCAACTGTGGCAAAATATAGTCCTTCTCCCACTTCTGAGCAACTTTAAGTTCATAAGCCAAGAATTGCTAACATTTCTTCCCTTTTATTTATTTATTTATTTATTTTATGTAGAGGTCAATTATTTGTTCTAATATTTTCCCTGGATTGTATTATCAATTTAAAACCTTTTAAACAGAGATGACATTGATATGTTTGTCTTACTGTAGCACAAAGATTTATTTTAAACTTAAGGAAACATGGAAATTGAATCCAAAATGGTGTCTGTGCTTTTGTGAATTAAAGCTCAATTCTAGGAGGCTAATACATCTCTTAAGTCATAAACTTTATTAAATGTTGTTAGGATCCTCTTACAGCAAGGGCAGCTTTATTTTGTTAGCTAGTAATAGCCATAAAAGCAATTTGTCCCACTAACAGATAAATGAAAAATCCTATACAAGTCCCCTGCACAGGTTGTTTTACCCAGGCATGTTTTGAAAAACAAGAATAAAAAGGACAATTTAAAAATGAAACTGATTGCTGTAATTTATCATTAGATGACATCAAACTGGGGGTATTAATCAATATGCTCTGGGGCTGGGCTGCCACCTAAAAAGACGTAAACAAGCTGGAGAAATGGGCCTACAGGAACCTCATGAAATTCAACCAGAACAGGATGGAAAGTGCTACGCTGGGATTGAACAACATCTTGCAGAGGCACAGGCTGTAGACTGCCAGACTGAGGAGCAGCTCTTATGAAAAGTTCCTGAGGGTCAGGGTGTGCAGCAAGCCAAGCATGACCCAGCACTGTGCTCCGGACAGTGCAAAGGCCAGCCACGTCCTGAGCCGTATGAACAGGAATGCCACCAGTCAGTCAATGGATGAGAATCCTGCTCCCTTTAGCCCTCATTAGACCACATCAAGATACTGCATCCTGTTCAGTGCCCTCCAGTGCAGGAAAGACATAAACTGGAACAAGTTTGGCAGAGGACCACTGAGAGAGATGGATGGGGCTGCAGGACCTCCTGTGTGAAGGCAGGCAGAGGGACCAGGGCTGGTTCAGTCTGGAGAAGAGCTGGCTCTGGCAGCACCTAACTGCAGCTGCACTGCCTATGGGGCCCTGCAGGAGAGCTCAACTAGGCATGCCAGCAGGTCCAAGAAAGGTTAAGACTGGCTGTAAGGAAACTTTTCCACCAGAAAGAGAGGCAAACAGCGGCACAGGCTGCCCCAGGGAATCATGAAGGCCCCCTCAGAATCATGAAGGCTGCCCTCCTCGGAGGGTAGCACTTCCCAGACAGACAAAGCCCTGAGTCACCAGGTCTGACCCCACAGCTGAACACGCTGTGAGCTGGACATTGGATCAGAGACCTCCAGGGCTCCCTCCCAGCCTGAATTACCCTATCAGCCTGTTATCCCATGGTCCCATGATGATTTTATTTTTAAACACATAAATATTCCTAAATAAACCAAATGTCTAAATATATTTTAGCATTAATACTCATTTTATCTCAGAAACATTATAGTAAAATATCCTAAGTAACAGATGACCTAGTTCTTGCTTGTTGATTGTATTTAATATCCCAGTTAACTTGTCTTGAGTGATACATGAGAGCAGCTTGGCAGTAGCTATGCAGGCCAAGCAACCCAAGGCAGTGTGCTCTTTTCTTTCCCCATCCCTCCTCTTATGTGAAGTTTTATTAACTGCCCAACCTGCTGCTTTAAGTTGATATGCATGGAAAGAGATTTGATTGCAAGTGCTGTGTAAAAGAAAAAATCACATTCACTGCAGCTTTTTCTGGTTCATCAGTCAACTGTGAGCCAAAGGAGCATGTTGCCTTTTCTGGCCCTGCTGTGTTCAGTGACATTGGGCTGCCATTAATCAAACACGGCTGTCAGACCAAACTCACAAACTTCAGAGAAAACCAGTCTTGCAGCTGACCACAGCCTTACCAGATGCCTTAATAGGAAGCTGTTAATAGACTATGGGAAACTGTTAATAAAAAGGTGGAGAATTTTAAGAAGATACTGAGTGGTCATGCAGGCAGCTACACCACCAGCGCCAAGCTAAGCTGCCAAGCCTGAAACTCACTAGTACAAACCAGTTTTCATTTAATTTTCAGCTTTCATAAAAGCATTATGTCAGACTTCTGTACGCTGCTCAGGGGAACAGGAAACTATTGCAACATCTATCTCATACCAAAAGCAGTGAGCAAAATCAACTACATGTCTCAGGATGTGTCCAGCAACCCAGGAAAGCTCCCAAAGGACTAACTCCTTTCAAATGGCAGAAATTTTAAAGAAAGCCGAACAATCATCTGCAAGACCTCTCTCAGTCTTTCCCATTCCACCAGGTGGTGCAGAGGGCTCTGCCCTACCTGAAAGCAAAGGCTGTGGAGAAGCTGCTGCTGGCAGTGGGGCTGATGGCATGCAGTCTCTGGGCCCAGGCCCCAGATGAGGTGGCATGTGGCAGCAGTTTTGTGACAGCCTTGGGATTATTTGCCCCCACTGGGCACCTCTCTCCCCTCAGTGTGGCTACCACTCCCTCAGGGCTGCAGTTTCAGTAGTTACCAGCTGTGAAAGGCCATACCCGTTTATACGTTGTTTGTTTGCCATTTATTGCATGTGTTCCTTTGTAAGGGTGCAGCTTGGCAGCATAGGAGGCTGCGGGCTCACCTTGTCCTTGCTGGAAGGACATGAGGATCCAGAAGGAGCACTGAGCCTTTCCCAGGCAATCATGCAGAGGATTGTGTGTGTGATGGGGGGAGTGGTGCAAGGAAATGACCAAGTGAGGAGTGAGCCCTCTGGAGCAGCAAAGCTTGCCAGCCCATGGGAGAGAGGAGAAAACAGGTATACAGCCAGGTGCCTCAGAAGGGAAAGGAGACGGACACGGAAGCCTGGCTGGGGCAGCACCCAGTCTGCTGCAAGCCAGCCAGCCCCTGAGCTGGTGAACTGGAACCAGCCTGGGAGAAAGGACATGACCATGGAGTCAGGGTGAGAGTATTTGTTTACAGTTCTTTTACTTCTGTTTCCTTTCTGTTCAAGTCACACGGGTCTTAAGGGGCAACTTGCTCCAGTGTATGCCTTAACAGATTGAAATGAGTTTGGGGTGGGGCAGGAGGGAGAGTGCTTGGCCTGAGGGCGAGGTGCAGTGGCACAGTTGGAGGCAGGGCCAGGGCTCCACTCCTGGCTTGGTGCTGGCACTCATGCTCGCGCCTGGGGACATGCTGGTGCTGTGGCCTCACCCCCAGGTATAAACTTCATCCCAAGGTGTGAAATGTGTCAGTAAAAACTGATGTCCTCTAGCTAATGCTACATCCTCTGTCCATCAGGCACAGAGCAGGACATGCACCTCCAGCAGGTTATGCATACCACGTTTCCATTTAATTTTAGAAGACCATATTTAGAAATTGCATTGGAGCTTCCACCATGTGACAAATGGTGAAAATTTGCTTGAATACCCAAGAACAAATTTATTAAGTTTCACACCTCTGTGTTCACAGCTTCTTATGCCTGTTCATACTACACATGAGAGGAAACACACTGTTGTCTCCAGCAGCAGCATCTTCAGAACAAAATCTATATGGTGATGTTATGAATAAAAACAAACAAACAAATAAATAAATAAGTACAATCAAAATCTACAGTAAACTTAAAAAGTAGCACTTCAGAATCCTAAAAGGAAGACTTAACATGGTGAAAATTACAGTGTTTTGATGTTGCTCGGATGGTGATGGCTGTGCTATTCTGCATCATACCTGCTTGCAGTTGTTTTTGTTCAGGAGTGAATCCACAGAGAGCTCCAGAAGTGGCTCCTTCTGCAGCTGCATAAAGCCTCAGCTTTGTTGATGAGCAGAGGGATCTGCATTTATACCTTAGCTGACAGCATGTTTCCTGAGGTAATGGAGAGCTGCTTTTGCAATCAACTAATTCAAGGTAAAAACAATTGCTGTCATATTGAACTTCATATAGATGCCCGGTGACAGTCTCTGTAGGTACAAACAATATCTAATTGCTGCAAGCAATTAGAAAATTCCCAGCATGGTGTGAATTCTTTCTGTCTCAAATGGCTGTAAATCTGAGTATGAAGAAGAGCTTGCTTGAAAATTAGTTTTTTATCAGATGCACAATATAACTCATGGAAAAAAAAATCAACTCAAATGTTTTGCAGTTCAAATAAACCTTAAATTTTAATGAAGGTTTGTGTGGGATAGCAGGTGCCTAGTATATATTAGTTCTTTGTAGAGAACTGCCTCATTTCTGGTTTGAATTAATGGGAAGTGATTTCAATGAATTTTAAATGAAAATAAGTATTCTGAAGATAGTTCTCAGTTTATTCCTTTCTTTTAAAAGACGCTTTGCAGAAATGTAAAATATTGATTACATTTTAGCCTGATATCTCTAATAAGGACAGAACTATGAGACCAAGTGTCACAGTGTTTGGAAATAACTACCATTAAAGCAGAATCTGTGAAATATTTGGAAAAGTAATAAATGCCAGAAGCTAGGTACATTCTGGAATAGTTTAAAAGAACCAAGATCCCAAGTTTGAAAAACCACAAGCTCTGTGAACAAACCTCATTTATGGTGGCTAAAGAAAAATACAGAGATTTGTGCCAAATCCTTTTTGCCTAAGGTACATGTAGTCATTCAAGGACAGTATTGCAAAAACTAAATATTTGTCTTCCTTGAGACCAGCTATGTGATATTTCCTGCAGAACATTTGCACAAATAATCTAAAGATCCAGTGTTAACTGGAAAATGGTATGACATTAATCCAACACATGCAGCTTTTTTTTTTTTTTTTTTTTTTTTTTTTTTACTTAGGAAAACTCTTTTAAAATGTTCAAGTAATATTTCATAGCTGCAGATGCAAGTATTTACACAAGGTCCAGGGAAGACTAAGTTAAACATTAGAAAGAGGAAAAAGAGGGAGAAAATAGAGAAGCCATGCTTTTAAGCAGAGCTTACAACCTGGGGAAGATCAGCAGGCCACATTTGAGAACAGATTAATTTATCCTTAGCTAATTACTCTGTAAGGTTCAGCTGAACTGCCACCACCACTAACAGTCAAGACATATCACAATGGATTGTTCTGTCTGTTTGATAAACTCATTCACTAAACAAGTTGCTTTCTGGCTGTGTATGTGCAATAAAATCTAGCCAGTCAATAGTGCTGCTACTGATCCCATTCAGATAATTTTCTCCCTTTTTGTTATGGCTTGTCATCTTCATCCTGTTCTTTGCATTGTTCTCTCTAGTTTGAGGAGAAGCCTGGTAGTCAAGCCTAGTATGTTCTAGTTGTTGCTCTTCTGACTATTATTTATGTTTTAGCAACTCTGTCTTCAGTTTACCCATCTGTAAAACTACAATAGTATTTAAAAGTCTCTGGGAATCTTTTAAAGTAGGAAGCAGCTCAGAATGAAACAGAGTGCAAAGGAATTTTAGAATTACAAGTTTCAAGAAATATCCTGTATGTTCATTAAATTTTAATAAAGGAGTTGTGCCATGGCAAGGATATAGTTTAATTTTGATTCGAAATGTGTACTCAAAAAAAAGTGATCATTCAATAAGAAGTCAGTACCTGTTTTGTCTTTCCAGTGTATAAGGAGATTAAGAGAACTGACAGTTTCATGGAAACAGTTTGAAGATCAAGTTAGCTTGATTTTTTTTTAATTATCCAATAAAGTGTATGTAAACATGAAAATTTTTCAAACCATTTAAGCTACAGTAATAGAGTAGGCCTTTTGGGGCATATCTATGGATAAATATATATTTATCCATATGGATAGTCTTGCTAAAGCAGCTGTTTTCTGCAGAATTATAGCATTTTTTTCATTGCTATGGACCTGCCATTAGTGCTGACATTAATGAGGACTAAATCAGGCCCATTGTACCGAAAACTTAACAGTGTGCTTAATCTAAGTCTAAGGATGGAGGCAGCTTGCTTTGAAACAAAAAGGTAAGCAATTAAGTTTAACTGGTTTATTGCTTTGTAAAATTCTGTCCTTAGATTCACAGCAGCATTAAGCCTTTTCAGTTAATTTTTGTTAAACAATGAAGTAAAAATGAACAATTTCTTTAAAAACTGAGATAAAATATAGCTTCCTACCTGCAGAATAGAATGGGCAAGGTACTCACTTTTTAGCTTAGCAACATAATAAAACTAAAAAGTAAACATACCTCTTACTACGAACAAAGAAGTGCTGTTCATTTGATTACAACAAAAAGGAAACTTCAGAGAACTGATTTAATCACAACAATTGGAGAGTCTGAGAAGAAGCATAGGAACATGACTTACATTAACACACACCACAACTAGAACTATACATACAAAAACCACATGCATATAAGAGAGAATTTGAGAGAGGTTCATTTACTACAGCAGCCTTTAGCCATTAAAGGGGCAGATGGAAAAAATTTCCATGTCATTAAAAGCACTTCGGGAATTAAAAAAGAGTTGAAGAGTTTCCTCCACCACTTCCTCCCTTCTTCATTATCTTTTTTTTTTTTTTTTTTAACCAAACTTTCTAACAGATAAAAATGAAGTGCAATATGGGGTTTGAAGAGATCTCAAGAGATACTATGCTATTGTCATTAAGTATCTGGCCTATTGTCACCCTTTGATATTCAACAAATGCAAGTCCAATTTGTCATGAAGACCTGCAGTATTACAGCTGATAGTACAAAGTCTTTCAAATGTGCCTTATTGAAAAGTTATAATGCCATAGGTTTCACAGGTTATGTATTTCTCCAAATTTGACATAAATGGGTAGGGAAAATAATAGTGCATTCAAAGAATATGCATCCCCTGGATTCATATATTTAAAGAAATCCTTTTAATTTTTGTGAGGTGAAATGTGCTCAGGCTGCATCAGTTTAAGCTTGGAGGAATGCCAAGGAAATCAGTCTAATAACTCAAGAGTCATATGGTGTAGAAAAGAGCAGAATTTGGTACATGAAGTCCTATCTTTTCTGCAAGGACGGCTATTTATAGTTCCATTTTCATCCAGCAGTTCTGACTATCTTTTTAGTAGTGAGTGCCACATAGTAAACATCTTTCCCCCAAGCAAGCCAGCAATCTCTCCAAAGCTAAAGACAAGAAGAAATACACAGTCAAAATTGCTAGAATTTTCAATATTCTCAGTTTTATGTATGGGGAGTTGGCAGTTCAGAAAGAAAATAATAGTAATAATAAGCAAGCAAGCCTTTCTTCCTTGCCTGTAAGTACAGCAATATCCTCAGGAAGCAAAGTGGTTTTTCATAACTATGTTGAGTTAAAAAGAAAAAAAAAAGCAGGAGAACAAAGGCCAAGAAGTAGACATGTCATATAGGATATGAAGGGGACTCCTTCCTCACTGGATAAATCACTAGAAGTACTAGAAAATTCAGAACAAGCAATGTGACATAAAATTAAATGGTGAGAAGAATCTGACTATATGCTGTCATCCCCTTTTTGATCTGAAGACAAGCTGAACAGCTACCATCTGAAAGTGCAAGTCACTAAGCATTGCAGATATTTCTGAAAACATAGGCTGAAGCTATTGTGTTTCCTTGCATCATAGCAATTTTGCAATAATTTTCATTACTTGGCTTCTAAGTGTTCTATGTTCTATGTATGTATTAATATCTTTGCTCTATGGAGAGAAAATATCACACCCCAAAGGTAATTACAGGAGGGTTTAACTAGGAGTGCCAATGCCACCTTTTGAGTATGATCTCCCTAGTTATGTCCAGGGATATTTTTCCAATATTTGAAATGTTAAGACTTCTTGTTCATTTTCCTCTCTCTGCCATGATTTGCATAGTTGTCCCACTCTCTCCAAATGCAGTTGTTCTATAGTTTTCACAGCCATGTGATCTGTGTAATTCATTGTGATGCTTTTTCAGCTTCTCTACTGATAGAATATACTGCAGAAAGAGGTTGAATTTTTAAAATAGTCTTTGTACTGATTTACTTTCCTTGAAGTCTTTCTTATTCTGGAAAAATTGCTCTGTAGCTCTTCAGCTGCTCTAATAAGGAGGGGCAAATGTGTACCTAGTATTTTCATTCTTTGACAGCATTTGTTATGTATATGACGTAAAGAACATCTAAACCTTGGTAGGTGTATTGTCATTCTGACTTTTTCTGTATTGTTTTTGATTTGCTTAAAACAATCATTAGGCAGCTTTGTATGACAGCCACTGTTCATCATTCACTTGGACGGGAGCTGGTCTGCTGTTTCCCAGTACTGACGTTCCAAAGCACTGGTGTGTTTTTGTTTTCTTCCATATATTGTAACAGCTGTTCATTTGAGAACTAAAAATTTGCTAGCCATTATTTCTTCCTGTCATATCCTTATTCCCTTTCCTGCCACACTGCTGATTCTGTGATCACAGCCTCCATTAGACAATACTTAACCTCGTCAACACTTGACCTGGTTAAGTATTCCAGCTCTGATATCTAGTCGAATATCTATTACTAGTTATAGCTATACAGTTGTTAAAAGTAATGTAGTTCCAAGTTTCAGCTTTTTAATCTGTGTAAAAGTGAAAAAGTATGTTCTAAATTAAATTCCATGATGTTAAAAAACTGAAACTGCAAAGCAGTGCAGTTCTTTAACTGTTTACTTAATCAGTACAATTCCTTAACTAGTCTAATGAGCAGTTTTAAAAAAATCTGTGTAAACAGTCAGCACTCTGATTGCTGCTTATTAGGAGAATTAACATCCAAATTCATATTTTGGATTGGGGCCATAGTGTAAACTATGGAGCCAGTAGTAAAGGGAATCCCCCAGCTGTACTCACTCTCATATTGGTTTGATTCACAAGTGGATCTGGTTTGCACAAATCTTAGATGCTTTTCAGAAGGAACTAAAATCTAATCTGCGTTCAGGATGCAACCCACACCCCTTCTAATTGGGATGGACAGATTCAATTAACAATGGTTTAAGTTTGTGCAGCTAGAGACATGTATGCAATGTGATCATTAAAACCAGACAGCCAGGGAACATTTAGTCTGAAGTTAAAACCCTGAACTCCATATGGTGTTGATGTTTTGGACCTCTCAGCAACACCTTCTAGCTACTGCTTCATGCCTGTTGTTCCAAATTTCTTGCTTAGAAATAGCAGATTTATGAGTGATTATGGCCAATATATCTAGTGTTATAATACCATTGCTCTTAAAAATACATCAGAGCTGTGGAAGCTGGGATTAAAAGTCCCTTGTTTGACTCAAATTGTGGTGAGAGTCTTTTGTGGCATTTCAGAACAGTTTGTGCAAGGTTTTTGCCTTTGCATTGCTGGAGGCTAGCATTGGCTATTTTGATATTTTCTTAAGAGCAGAATACCATTGTTTCATGGCATTACAGAACAATAATAGCATTCAGTTAACTTCTGGAACCATCATCCATTCTGTTGACATTATCTTTCAGTTATTTATAATTGATTTAAAATCAAACAATAGTGTTATATAACATGCATCTTATAACACCACTGTTTTGTTATTGAAGTTCTCATATGACCTTGTATGTGTAAGTAGTTACTTTTTTCTGGTCTAGAGAGAGCTCTCGGGTGAAACTTTCATCAAATTCTCAGGGGTTATGTCTTCATTGCTGTAATAATACAGCTGATCTGCCACTGAGCATGGTCATCTCTGGTCTGCCACATTGCAAAGCTGTACGAAAGTCATTGTCTCTTAAATGGCGTTGTCATCACTCTGTTAGGACAAAACATGGCTGCACTCCATCAGATCATAGGTTCTTTTAGCCTCGTGCCCAGTGTTCAGTAGTCACAACTGGTGGTGATACATAAGAAAAGTGTAACAGCATTTTGTAGCCATACTTCTGCAGTATTTCCCAGCTACCAGTAATAGCTACTTGGAGTGTCATTTGTTCAAATGCACCATAAAATACATTTTTTTCTTTCATTTAATAGTCCTTGAGAGAATGTCTTCCATCAGTCTGGCTACCCTTTTTTGACTAATTTTATGGGAGGATGCAGAGCATCATGTGGCGATGAGTTCCACAATTAAGTACTTGCTCTGTAAAACAACAACAACAAAAACAATGAAACAAAAGCCCTACTTCTTCTTGACGAAGTATTTCATAGTTACGTTCGATGCACATTCATTCTTGTATTAGGAAAGACAGTAAATACTCGTCTTCTGTTTGCCTTTTTTGTTCAAGACATGGTTTTCTAGTTTTGAGTCACATCCTTCTCAGACATTTGTTTTCCAATCTGATATATCTTCACATGAAAATTGTTCCATATTTTTGATCATCCTTTTGCCTATTTCTGCATGATTTGGGGTTCTACCATGTACTTTTAAGATGAGTAATGTCATAAATCTTAATAAATCCACACAATGTTCTAACCATTGGTATAGTAACACTGCATTGTGTATGGTAAAACAATGAGATTTTCTGTTCTGTTCCCTGCTTTGCTTTTCTGTTATTGAGAACTAATAGAACATTTTCACATAATTAGATGTCATAAATTTACAGTCCCAGTCCTGACTGTTACTACTTTTGCAGTCACTTGCTGTACATGTAATTCTAGGATTATTTTTTTCCCGTGCCTTACTTTACATTTATCTACTCAGAATTTCCTCTGCTGGTTTATTGCCCTGTCACTGTTTTCCTTTTGCACTTCCTTATAGCTTATTTTTACTCTCCTGAATAACCACGGATTAAAGAGAAAACTGTCACTTCAGTATCACTCTTCTTGGATCATTTATTAACATGCCATGAAGATGTATGCCTTCTCTTCATAGGATCATGAACAACCTGTAACTCTCCACCACTTTATTGTGAGATTCACCTCTGCTATCATGAGCTCTCAGCAGGGGAATGTACTGGAAGCCTCTCATCGCTGAGTAGTTTACATAGCTACTTCATAGCAAAACGAGTAGTTACCAGACCTATTCAAAGTTGCACCTGGTTCCAAACTGGCATTTCTTTCTACGCTTACACATCCTCATATTGCCCCAGCATTGTAAAGGAAATTTACAAAAGCTGAAGCCTTTTCTGGCCTCTATAGTCTGTATCACTATCAATGTAATGACTCTGGGAATCAGCTTTGCCGATAAAAGACTGGCATACTTCAAACAGTCTCAAGTGTTAAAGTGTATGGTACAAAACAAGCTTTGAAGTTTTATCATGACAATAAATGCTTATTGCTTTTCTCACTGTATGTGTGTTCAAAGATCATGTATTGTGTATGTGGTGCAGTAGCATTGTATGAGAGGACTGAGACTTTTTTTTTTTTCTCACGCATTTGGATCTCATCTATCACCTGCAAAGATTTACTGCCTGCTAGTTACACTCATTTATTTTTGTCTGTCATAGCCTTTAAAAGTGGAAACCTACTTTGGCTTCTAGGAACCTCAATGATCCCAGGAATGGAAAGAACAAAAGGTGATTAGAGTAGGAGGGGAGAATGGGGAAATCAGGGAAAAAGTTCTCATTTTACAATAATTAGTTAAATACTTTGAAACATGTAAAACCTTTTAAGTAGTCCAAATAAATAGTAGTCACATAGTAAATGATATACAGTTGTTTGAATAGTTAGTTCTTAAGTCTTCTTTCAAATTTGCTGCGGACTAACTTTGAAAAAGATGATTTAAACTCAAAATGAGAAGAGCAAAGAGCTTTTGTTTGTTTGTTTGTTTGTTTGTTTTCTCAAACAAACAACCTCTTACAAATTACGAGTCTTTAAAGGTCAGGTGTGCAGTGGAAATATGTCTTCAAATATACCATTTATTCACAGCTTTGCAGTGGAAAATAACTTGAAGATTTCTAAAACATACAAACAACAACAGAAGAACCCTATGCCTTGTAAGCTTTCAGTAAGTCTCAAGAGGAGAGGATGAATCACATATTCACAAGCACTTCATACTTGCTTATCTTTATAAAGAGGAGACCTCATTCAGGGCTGGAAAGATTCACAGGATGGGAAAACTGGCTACCTACAGACCAACAGAGAGTGAATAGAATAACAGATGAGGCTAGAGAGGGGCCGAAGTCACTTCAGTTGCAGCAACATATTAATTTTCCCAAAGACATTATAACCCTTATAAGGTATGTAATTACATCTCTCACCTATACATGACTATCAGCAAGTATAAAACTAGAAATACTTCAAAATTAGGCCTTCCTCATTCAAAAGGATGAGAGAATTGTCTCACATAATGTCATACAATCAAAGTTAACCAAGTTCTGAAACATTAAGAGTATGATGCAAACTCATTAGAATCAATGGCAGCTTCAAATGTACAGCACTTAAAATTACAGCATATGTTTTGGTGCTGAACAGTATATTTTAGTTGCCTCATTCAGGGCTCCCAAATATGAAAATCCCGAGTTTACTCTTTCATGAGAACCCCATATGTCTTAGCCTCAGAACTTTAATAACAATTTTATTTTATTTTTTTTTGCTTCAGAGTGTAGAATTATACATATAATTATCATATTTTCATGTTAATTCTATTTGTTAAAATATTAAATACTTAGACTTGGAAAACTGAATTATTTTGTATTTTTGTATAGTCATTGTAATTTACAGTTATGATGTTTTTTATTAGCTCACATTTAATATCAAGACAACAAACTAGCTATATGTCTGTACAGCAGCTCTAATAATTAATTTTTGTTTCCTTTTTACTACATAATCTGAAGGTTCTCCTTCTGTACAGTTGTGCATACACTCAACTGTTCTGCAGTGGACGTCACTAATGAAATGATCAAATGCTATAGAAATCTTCAACTGGATTTATTGGATGATAAGCCACAGCAATAAAGTATATTGGCATAACTTGACAGTAGCATACATCTATAAAATTCTGTCATATAGAAGCTGCTGTATGAACAGGATCAAAGTCTGGATGTCAGGGCTCTTTAATGAAAACTATAATAGTCCACTCTATTGTCCTCCTAAAATGCTGGTAACCATCTTCTTTCATTTCTATGGGGTATTTGTTCAGAACTTAAATGAAAGTTTGCCATTCTGAGATATAAAAGTAGGACATTCTTCACAGAATTTCTCACTTCAGAGAGGAGAGAGTGTTCTGACTGAGAGGAATGGCATTTTGATATGCTTGTAGAGCAAAAGACCTTCATGGTCTTGTGTCACATCTAAAAATCCTTTGAGGTCCTGAAGTCATATTCCTTTTCTGTTATACAAGTAAATGAGCTTCATATGTTTCACTGAATGTTCAATAAGAACAGTAACAGGATTCCCAGAGTTGTGCAGATCAAAAATGCAAATGATTGGTTTTACATCAAAAGCAAAACTGGCAGCTAAAATATCCTCAGGACAGATTGTCTTTGTGGCTGTTGTTCTTGTGCCACACTGCAATTCCTTTTTGGTTTAAATATCACTGTGTGCCACAGCATGTAGCAGAAGACATAGGTCAGGAGTGTTACCCATAAAAGTGAAGAATATGTAAGACAGAATTTAAAATATTGTTTGCCAGACGTGCTGTCGGAGCTCGTGCAGACATGGAATAATGTCATTTCAGCAAACTCAGCAAACTTCCAGATGAAGAAAAATTACTTTTATCAGACTCAAAAGGCCCCAAATTCCACTGTTGTTGCTCCTCCATCATTTCTGTCATGACAGGTAGAAAGCCTGAACTTTCAGAGACAATATTCAGAGGAACAACTCCTTCTTGTATCCAGAAAGCTGTTTTTAGGTGATTTGTAGAGACCTTGATGCAGTTTCAATGTTCTATAAATAACAATCTGATCTGTTTGCATTAAATTTATGAGCACTGCATGTGAAAATTTATACGCTAATCAGATGCGGCTCTCAGTTTCTTATCTGTCTGCTTCTCTCAGTCCCTCCTGTATGTAGGTTAGGCTTTTCTACTGTGCTTCTTTATGTTTCTTGTGGATGGTGAAGTTAAAAGGACTTCTAGCAACTACATCAAGTAGCAGTGTGAGAGCTTGCTGTTTATCTTAGTTTGAAAAATGAAAAAGTGCTTAGAAATGCATTGCTTTGTTTTGTTTAGCACATTTATGTACAGCAGACTTTACATTTGATTTCTTAATGTAATGCTTAAATAAAACTGTGTTTATGCCACATCTTTTCTCTTTTTAAAGGGTCTGGTTAGTGCAAGTAACCTACTTGCACTTACAGGGAAGTGGACAAGGGTTTTCCTGCTGGAAGCTCTGATGGATGTAACAGCCCATTTCATTGGTATCCAAAGGGGAAGATCCCAGGAAGTCTGGAAATGGGCTGAAATTTTGGGCATTAACTTATAAACTGAATTTAGTGGCAGCTCATGGAAACCTACCCAGCAGGTAATAAAATTTGTGCAGTGGTCTATTTGGAAAATGGGAAGGCAACTGTTGTTTTTTTTTTTTTTAAATGTGCTAATTAGAGGGATGGGATTTGCATTATTTTGTACAGTATTCATACTGTACCGTATCCATACTGTACCATATGCTAGTGTACATTATGCACACCAGATACAACATGAGAATCCTGTAAATGGATAGCCTGTCCCGAATGGCAAAGGGTGCCACTGGCAATAAAGCCAGGAAGGTGTTGCCCCCTAGGATGGAAGGGAACTTGCACCCTGGAGGCAATAATTCCAAATTAACAACTATTGAAGACCTGCAAGGCCAAAGCCCCCTTGAGACCACACACAGAATTTAGTGGACTCCAGATAATCCTCTACTAAAATCCTCTAGCATTTCACAGTTTTGCAAGGTGGTTTATACCTTGGTTAGGGGTGAATAAATTAGAAAAAGCTATTTTACATATTGCAGCCATAATTGAAGAACTAGAACACAGTCTAGATGCAAGAAAAAGGAGATTGCATAACTAGTACTCAAGAATCGAATGGTATTAGATTTATTAATAACCTCATAAGGAGAAGCGTGCACTGTAATTAATACTGCTTGCTGTATATATGTAGATCAAATGGGACAAATTTGACTTATCTCAAAAACATTTGGGAAAAACACACACACACACACAGAAAAAAAAGATCCTACATAGAGTAGCTCAAGGTGACATGTCCTGGGAAGTTAGAGACATCTGAGAGAAACTAATGTAATGGTTACCTAACTGGAATTGGTTTAAGCAACTGTTTGTTGGTATTATAATAATAGTGGTATTGTGTGTTTTTTTGCTTATTCCTTGTATTAATTCCTGTATAGCATCTTTTGTAAATTGGAGCTTTGAATGGAAACAATTATCCCCCAATGCATTTGAAGAGAAGTATTGCACCCTAATGCTAAAGAGACTCAAAAGCTAAGAAAGTGAGGAAGTGCGAAACACTTCAAAAACAACAATAGAAGTAAGAAAAGAAGAGGAGGGAGTTATGAGAAACTAAGTTGCGTTTTGGCAGTAAAGAACTAATTTTCTGTATTCAAAGGTAGCTGTGTAGTCATAACATGTAAAAATGCTAAGCAGGTAAGTGGACAGCCTCACTGTTCCAAAATAAGGTAGAACCTTGAGAAAAACAGGATGAGCAGTGGGAGAACAGTAAAACAAAGTTCACAAGTTCTCAAAACATAAGAAAGGAAAAAAAAAAAAAAAGGAAAAATGTGAAATTAAAGGGTTGATCAAAATAAAGTGTACATATGAGGTATAGAGGAGTGTCGAGTAGCTTGTGAACCTGTAGTATGGTTCAATGAGGAAACAGGGAAGGTGATCAGGTGTTGGGTAATAGGGAATAAAAGGTTATGATTTATTTACTGTAATGCACTCCTAATTGGCAGGACACCCGCCACTGCAATCGCAAATAAAATAGCTTCACAGAAGATCCTATCTGAAGAAAGTTATTGAGATTTTTCTCACAGACACAATAAAGATTAAAGACTACTGTATTAACAAGAACAAGGAGCAGTGTAGATATTAGGAACTCTTCTGTCAAACTACTTTGGTTGTCAGCCTGCTCTGGTCAAAAACAGTTATCAGAGGACAGTTAGAGCTGTTGGTTGACTCTTTAAAACTTTGATTAAGGGAGTGAAAACTTCATACTCAATTCACACTTTTGTTACTCCACTTTAAGCACATTTAGAACAAAAGGACAGCAAATGAACTACTTCTAAAACACAAATGTGATGAAGTATGGAATGAATGTGTCCTGTAATCAGGTTTGTATGAGTGGGATTATCCACCCATTGCACTATCTCCTGTAGCATGTTAACCATCTATGTTGCTAAGAGAAACAAGAAAATATGAAGACAAATATTGGTATATTTGTTGGCAAAAGATCTGGACAATTATCTGCCTTACTGAGAAATAATTTGTTGAAGTTTCTCTGGCCTACAGCACAGTTCCTGGACTGTGTAGTTTCCTTACAACCTACAACCTATTTAACCTATTTGTTTTCGTTGCTGGGTCATGATGATGTAGGAGAAAAAGGAATTATTATTATTATTTAATCTTATTTTTTACTGATCTCTGCAAAGGGTTCTCATGAAGAAGTAAAGTGAGTCCTGAGTCCTACATTTGCCACTGCTTGATGAAGTTCGTATGGTCTATTGTGTAATTAGTAAGTCAGCATTTATTTCTGGTTCTTTGCTCATTTCTCCAAACAAGCTTTTTTTTTTTTTTTTTTTTAACTGGAGTCTTTTGATTTAATTAGTAGAGTGTGAATACCACTGTTTTGCCAGAATGTCAGTCATGCAGAAGTGCTCAGGAGATGATTTAATTAAACATGTGCAGCACTACATATAATTAATACTTTTCTACTGCCACTGGCTATTAAGCAAGTGTATGAGGCAGAGAGATATATAGGTAGTGCACTAGACCACATTCTGTCTGGACTGACACTATTTCCAAATACTTTCAAAATAAATGAATCCTCTCCTGACTCCAAAATAAACATGCTCCTAGTGGAAAGGAAGGCCTATGCAATTGAACAGCATATTTTTGATTACTTTTCTTATGCTGACATAATTAAAATGGGTTGCTAAAATCCACTAGGACTTTTCTGGAGGTAAAGCCTCATCACTTTTACTTCAGTGTAACTTGGCAATTTCAACAGTATGTCTACCACAATATCCCCATCAATGGTTGAAGTAGCTTATCTATGCTGTGCCAAAAACTATAGAGCCTTATCTCTACAAAGTTTTTACAGAAGATAGCTAAGATGTAGATCTCTTCCTGCCATAAAAAGCACCTCTTTGGGAGGGAAAAACAAACTTCCAGCTTGCAGTAAGCTTAGTTGAGAAAAAAATACATGATACACATTTGTACTAGAGTTTCAGGTTTTGCATGTGTACTTCCCCTGTATCTCACACACACCCAATTATGCTATACTTTGCTTAACAAATTCTGTTTGTTTTCAGATGTGGAGCTGTACCCCATGACATGTTAAGTGTGAAGAGTTACGGTGCTGAAACAATGAAATTCTGCAGCGTCTGGTTTGGCCATCAGGGAGTTGCCAAGACATTTCTGTGTTGCTTGAAGATAGTGGCATGCTATTGTAAAACACTTACATTACACATATGTGTAGCTCTGCTGACAGTTGATTTATAACAATGGTTTTCTTAGATTTTGGGGGGGCTGTGTAGCACGCAGCTTTCTCCAGCCTGCAGCCCTTCATCATTTGACACGGAAGGTACTGCAAATGCAACTTAATTACTGCAATAAATAGGTCCCTGTCTATTGGTGCACTTGAGAGTTACACCAGGCACCTGCTACTTTCAAAATTTTGCATAACTGTAAGTTACACAGAAGCCAGGCCTGAAGCATTGCATTACATAGGTTCCTTTAGTGCATGCATGTCTCTATGATGTCTGCAACATACGGTCTAGATGTCTGTGCTTTAATAACATGATTCTTCTGAAAGCACTGATCAGAGAAATATTTTACTTTGTTGGAGAGTGGGAAACTGTGGGGAGGCACTGAAAATCTGTTAATAGTTGAATGATCTATCCTGCAGCTTCACTGCATAGTTGGCTGACTTGAAGCAGAGTCATAGCACTGTGTTACATGTTCAGCAAGACCAGTTAGCCCAGTTTGCAGTGCCGCTTCACCTGGATGTGAGATTTTTATTTGAGAATGGAAAGGCAAAAGGGCAGTATCTCTGGCAGTATCAGTAGAACGAAGAAACGCTTTCCATGTCCTCGTATTGGACCACAGATTACAATGACTGTCTTAGGTTAACCAACACCACAGCTGAGCAAACACTGAGCAACGTGCTTGCTGGTAAATCTTAATCAAGTAACAGTTTTAACCATTTGGTTCTGCCAGTGCAAGGAAGGAGGATGGTGGAAGAGAATAGTTGGCCAAAGACACTTGCCACACTTTGTGAAATGAAAATAATCTCTGTGCAGTTATAGTAATGCCTGTGTTATTAAGCTCACTTACCTGAGACTGCAATTAGGATGCGTGTTAATTTATGTAAATGTGGAAACTTCACTGGTAGTAGGGGAAAGCCTCACTTTGCAGTGCAAAAAAAGTAGAACTAAGCTGTACGTGGCTGGGAGAAGACCACAGAACAGGATGATGAAACACTTGTTCTTAATTTTAAACAGTCCACGTGATTTGTTTTTTGAAATTGAAAAAAAAATAAAAATCAAGTGCATACAGCAACCACAGGTAAGTAGTGACTGTAAGGATACCTTACAAACATTTTATATACATCAGTAAACATAAGGGGATCCTGAGATTTCAAAGCTAACTTTGTGGGTGCAGGCAGTTATTACAACCTACAGGGAGAAAAGTCAGAGTTAACATCTCATTTAAGTGTGTTAATATGCATGGTATGTGTGTGAACAACTGCTTCCTGGTGACAGCAACGATGGTCTGCTGGATGATCCTGCATCTCAGTCAGGTTCTTGCAGTATCACTGCAATGTCAGACCGTCACCCTTTCTCCTTAACCCTGACTTCAGCCTTGTTTTCTCTGTTGTATTTCTTGGCAGATATTTGGTGGCCATTGGCAGAATCACTGGAAGAAATTGACCACAACAAAATCATAGAGCCCAGCCTGAACCAAACACGGGTTGTAACAGCATATGGAAATAAACCTGTATGCTTTAAGGCAAGAGCTTGGTCCAGTTCCATTTGAAATCAGTTTGCCACCAGGAAGAGACCACGAGCAAATAGCTTTTAAGAAGTTATTTTAAGTTCCCCAGTTACTGAATCATGGACACTAGGACTCCTCTCCCCTTTTATCTCCCCAATTTTTCTTGAAAAAACAGGTTAGGACAACTCAGTTTTTTAACTACTATTGAATAATTACTATGTACTGGATTTTTTTTTTTCCTTTTTCAACATAGTAGACCATAACTTTGGAGATTTATTTCATTAATAGTAAGTTCTCGTTTGCTGTCCGCAACAAAGATTAACTGGGTTTTGAACGTAATTGTATCACAGTTAAAAGCATATGGGAACTTGACTGGGAATTTTTAATAGTGTTATGATACTAAGAGCTATGTGGAGTGAAACCTACTGCAATTAAAAATATATTCAGGTTATAAATATCCTTTGATGTGTAGTTTAAGTAAAACACTGCCATGACTTTTCCATTGTTGACTAAAGTGCGAGGTTAGCATTTTTGCTGTTTGAGACGATCATAACTTTCCCTTCTTGTCAACATGACAAATCAACATCTTCTTTATTCCAACAAAGTGCTTATGCATTTATGTCATCTGAAGAATGCAAGTTCCATCAAATTAAACTATTTACATTCTTAAGGAACTACACATGTGAAAGTGCTTTACAAGATTGGACTGCAGTAATTACTTTTGATCTCTGCTATCTTAAAGGAAGACGGAAAGTCTCTAACCCTCATCCATTCCAGCAAAGTACCCAATAAACTACCAGCACCCTTGCTTTTGAACCTCTTTCTGTTTTCTGCTATTTCTCTGCTAGAAACAAGTTCTTAGTCTCAAAGAAAGCAGGAATAAATCAGATCAAAGCCCTTGTTATCCTGTTACATTAGACTTAAACTCTATCACTGTCACAAATTATTACATGTCCTCATCTGTAGCAGTGCTCACTCTATGCAAAAGATTGCATTCACATTTTTAGGATAGTCAATATTAGAAGAATCCACAATAAAATTGTTGAAGAGATGGAGACAATGGTAGTTTCTGTACCCTTTAACTCACTGCAACGCAGCACGATTAAAGACAAGTTTAAGTGTAGAGACAGTTGTGCCTTTATGGAAGGTTCAGGGAAGTTGCTCTACACTTACATGCCTAAGGGATCTGTTAAATAAGATTAATAATGCCTTAAGTGTTTATACTAACTCAAGACCATTATGGGATGATTCTGTGCCTAAGGAGAACATTGCAATCCTCCCACTACTCTGTAGCATACTGTATGATAAGACCCAACACATGAAAGCAAAGACAAATAAAAAAAAAGCAAAGACAAATGACATGACAGCTTTTAACTATCCATATTAATCAGTAAAATCAGGGTGCCACAGACAGGCTATGTTAGGCATGACTTCAGCACAGTAGCTTGGTTTCTGTTTATCATCCTGATGAGGGACTTGGCTTAAATTCTTTGAGCCCTAACAAGTTTTAAAATGTCATGTTGATTGGAAAGGGTTACCAAGAAAGTAGATATATAACCCTTCTGCTCTAAAAATTTAATCACTGTAAAAGAATTAGGTGAGGCCAGAAGAACTTGTTTGGCTGCAAAGTATCATCAACACTGCCTGTCTTGGTAGATGAAATCTTTCATTAGAGCTGGAATGTACACAATAGTACAACAACCTTTGTCAGTGGCATGACCTTTTCAGGTTTGTTTCTTTCTTCAGCTGAAAAGGCATTAGATATTTTTAACTTCTACATTATTTTAGTTGTGTGGCTCTACACTTTTAGGGGGCCTGTATGTTCTTTACCCTTTGGTTAACTAATGTGGTGTCCTACCAAAGACGTAAGAATGGGACAGTTTAAGTTCAAAAAAAAAAAAAAAAAAAAGAAGAAGAAAAACAATATCTCCAAGGCTAGTCACGGTTTACTTGAACAGAATAAATGAATTTACAATCACTTCCTTTCCTTCTTACTGCTACAAAAATTATATAAACAAAGTGTGAACTGTAGCAATCACTGGAAATTAAAATATATGTATGCTGGCTCTGTTTTGTTTCGTTTTATTTTGTTTTCACTCTGACTCCTATCATTCACTGAATTATTTGGTAATATTTTGTTCCGCAAGGCAGTTCCATAGTTCTTTATTGTCTTAGCAAAAGAGACTCAGTCCTTAAGTCCCAAATAATTTGTAGATACCCAATGCAGACTTACATGTCTGTCTCAGCAGTGGGAGTTTTTGAAATGATATCCCCTCTAACAGGGTTTCATTTAGCTTGTGCTGGATTCATATGCCCCAGGTAGAATAAAGAACTCAAGAAATTACAAGGCTGCTGATGAAGGGCTATGTATTTCTCAGGAAAAAACACTCAGCCTGAGAGCCTTTACAACTTGATCATGATGCCACAGCTAAGATCTGGAGTGACTCCCTTTCAGGTTATATGCTTTAAAGTAACACCAAAAATATTTTGCTAAGGTGAGAAACAAGTATTTTCTAACTATAGAATCCAGCTCTTGGTAAATCTTAAATATTCAAGGACAGAAGAGATAAACTGAGTGCTAGCACTATAGAGACCTTGACTCTCACTTAGTACCTTTTAGGTCATTTATGATTCAACTATGAAGCCAGTAGGAATTTTCCTATTTGTAATGAGTTGTAGAATTGGCCCAAACATTTTATTATTACAACATAGTAGGCAAATTGCCAAAAAACAGAGGAAATATTAACTACATTAGTATTTGCAAAAAAATGCATCGGGTACTTCGGTGTTAATATTATGTGGTTTCATACTAATTTGGTTGTCAGTTACTTCATTATTCCAATGACTTTTGTTTACATTGTAATTTAATCAATAGTGAGCTTTATTGCTGCTTAATGACTATTTTGCTGGTGTTTAGCAGTTGCCCAAATAAGTTGTGCTTTTTCCAGAAATGTATAGTTTCTTTTACTGTGAAGTTTCTAAAGCTTGATGAGTTCAATATACTACATGATTCAGCCTTTGAAGATCTTGGATTCTGTCAATCTTTTGTTTTATTCCTCATTTACCTGCTAGCTTCACTCTTGAAGGTAAAACAGCTGACCTGAGACTGCATTAATCTGGTGTCTTCCTGCAAGAACTTACTGTGGAAACCGCATTTTATATGATATTAGTCTTCTAAGAATACAAATACTTCTTAGTGCCACTGACCAAAGAATCCTCTAACCCTTGCAACTCAAACTTCTTGATCCATATTGTGTTCAGCCTATAAGCAAGACACACTCTGGAGGACCTGCTAGTATTGTTTAGGGAAGAGGACAGGTCTGAATAGGCACTCTGACAAGGTATTCAAGGATCATCCAGCCCAGGCCCTGCTGAACTGGCAATAAGTTCTTGGCAAGAATACTCTGCAGACCAGCCTTTTCCTTTTAAACGTAACGAAGCAATTAGTTCAAGTTCAAGTAGCTCATTTTACATAATGAGAGAAGGGCATGCAGATGTCTTTCAGATGATCAGGGCTAAACCTGTTTTGTTTTATACACCTAGATTCAACCAGGTATGCCTCTTTAAATATGATCTCGCTCATTTCAGAAAGTTACAAATCTCTTTAAAATCACACATGCGCTAAGCAAGCAA